AGTCAGTGGTCTGTACACAGGTGAAGAACCTGACTGAGGAAATGGCAGCTCTGGATGAAATTATTGCCAAGCTGACAAAGGAGAAGAAAGCTCTACAGGAGGCTCACCAGCAAACGCTGGATGACCTGCAGAGTGAGGAGGACAAAGTCAACACACTCACCAAGGCCAAGGCTAAACTGGAGCAACAAGTCGATGATGTGAGACACAGGAATGTTATGAAAGTAGTTTTATTGCAGTATTATATAAAGGGTATTATTCATGTGACTTTTAAATATTTTATTTTGTAGCTTGAAGGATCCCTAGAACATGAGAAGAAGGTTCGAATGGATCTTGAGAGAACAAAAAGAAAGCTGGAAGGAGATCTGAAGCTGGCCCAGGAAAATGTGATAGACCTAGAAAATGATAAACAACAAATGGAGGAAAGGCTGAAAAAGTAAGACATTTCTCCATGCTGTGTTGTGATTTGACGTTGTATAAATACGGAATCTGAACTAACGGCAGCTGCAACCCTATTTTATGTTTGTTACTGACTATTGAAAACTGATGGATGGAATGAACGATGTGTCCATTAATGTAAAATTACTATTCGATTACAGGAAGGATTTTGAAATAAACCAGCTCAATAGTAAAACTGAAGATGAACAAGCCAAAACGATTCAACTACAGAAGTGCTGCAGGTATCTTAAATATAGATTGTTAGTTTATAATGTTTGTGGTGTATCAAGTCAATTCTAGTCAAATAGACTTTATTGTCAGGCCAGCCATCAGGGGCGCCGCTAGCAATTTTGGGCCCTATGACAAAATATGAGGTTGGGCCCCCCTACGGTAACTTATTATTAATAAAGCAGATCTCTGGGGGGCCCTAAAGGGCGTGGGCCCTTAGAATTGTCCCAACTTTCCCCCCCTTAGCGGCGCCCCTGCCAGCCATACATATTTATACGGTGATATGAGACATCGTTTCGCCAGGACCACGGTGCAACATAAGACACATGTTGGGCTGTTTGTACACAATTACAGGGGTAAAGTGCAGATTAAGTACACAAGTGCACATATGGGGGTTGGACACAGACCACACATAGTGCACATGACACGACAGGAGGGCAGACACACAGTATATACATGAATAGGGTGAATATGGAATATAAACTCTGTACACTGTATAGTATCTGCAATAATTTAGCAGCAGGTGATGTAATGCAGAGACCTGGAAGAGGCCACACTGCAGCATGAAGCCACGGCGGGCGCACTGGAGAAGAAACACAGATACACAGTAATAAGTCAACAGTTTTTATTTATGTATTTCAAGCCACGGGATAATGGATAAATGTTTATACGTTGAAAAGTTGGACGAGTTAATTTTCAGTCTCTGTCAGTCGTTCAGAGACATACTAACAGTACTTACTTGGGCAATAATGCAGTTTGAATGTGACATTTTATGATTTATTCCTGGCTTTTTTTTCCTCATTCCTAATTTGTTTTTCTATGCATCTTTCATGTCACAGAAAGGGTTTGATGAAGAGTGAAGCTCTCTGATGGACCTTCCTGAAACTTTCTTGTTTATTGTGTGTTTGTTACCTTCTGCTCCTTCTTTATTAAGCAATTCTGTAGAATACAGACGCTCCTCTACTTATGAACGAGATATGTTCTGAACAGCCTTTGGTAACCTGAAATGTACGTTATTCAACATTATTTTAAGGGTATACGCAAGTACAAAGAACTGGGAAGCTGGGAGTACGCACGCTACGCTGCTGCGCGGCGGGAGTAGCGGCCAAGAGTCATACTAGGTGGAATTGGTGCGCAGAAAAAAAAAATTATGTTGTGGACAGGAAACGGGAGCCCAACAAACAAAATTTGGACTTACAGTCCTCTTCGTTTGTAAGTCTGAAAGTTCATAAGTTGAAAGTTTGTAAGTAGAGGAGCGTCTGTGAACTTAAATGGTAGATAAACCTATTGGTTCTTTTTCGTTCTTCTAACATTAATGCTTGCCTGTTCCCCTTAATATCAAAATTCTAAGCGATGCTAAATAGTAAGTCACTCCCAGTGTGTTTTCAGAATGATTGGAGGAGAAGCTATCTGATGAGTTTCAGTCTTACAAGAATCAGCACCAAGGGCGCAGCAAGTTGGTCAAAGGCCCTGGGGCAAATTTGTCTTTTGATCCCTCTCTCTATTCTGATCACATGCATACACACACTCATCACGGCAAAGAATAATTCGCTTTGAAAACAGTCAACAACAATCAATGCTAATACTAGTCACACAGGGATCTATCCCCCCATGCACTTAATTCAAAAAGTGCATAGTGTATTCTCCCATCGACTTAACTGTGGACTTTACGTGTACTTAGGCCAGAAACACACTTTGGGAGGAGAGGCACCAAAATATGGGCACATTGTGTTTAAAAGACCCTTAAGCTCATTCTGCTACTGACTTAAGTGTGTTTAGCTGATTTTTTCACTACACGCTCTGGAGGGCTACATTAAGTGATGTGAATATTATCCACCCCTGGAGCCTCACCACTGAAGAGTATTTTTACTACTTCAGTGACCTCAGTTCTAGTGATGGGTGATTCCTCCAACTCTACTTCCTCCAAGGAAGGCATGTCATTGGGATTGAGGAGCTCCTCAAAGTGCCCCTTCTGTCACCGAATTAAATTCCACTTGAGGTCAGCAACACTCCATCCCTGCCATGAACAGCATGGGCAAAGCCCTGATTCATCCTCCTGAATCTCCGACACCTTGCCAGAATCTCTTCAAGGGCAACAGAAGGTCATTTTCCAAGGCCCCACCGAACTCGTCCCACACCTCAAATTTGCTTCCAACAACTGTAAGGCTGTGCTTTGCTGGGCCTCCTGATGCTTATCAGCTGCCTCTGAAGTTCTCCAAGCTAATGAAGCTTGGAAGGCCTCCTTCTTCAGGCTGATGGTGCCCTTTACCGCTGGTTCAGGGGTTGCTGCCACAACAGGCACCAACAACTCTGCACAGCCACCTCAACAGCGGAGGCACTAAACGCAGCTCAATGTCTCCAGCCTCCTCTGGAAGGCAAGAGAAGTTCTGCTGGAGCTGTGAGTTGAAGTTCTCCTGTTCAGGGGCCTCTGCCCTGCACATACTCACTACACATTTAGATCTAACAGGTGTGACTGATCTTCACTTGCCATTTGATTGAACCCACCACTAGGTGGTGACAAGTTGACCGCTCAGCTCCTCTCTTCACCTGAGTATCCAAGATTCATGGCCACAGATCAGATGATACAAACAAAATTGACCACTGAGCTATGGCCAAGGGTATTCTGGTGCCAGATGCAACTATGAACGCCTTTATGCTTCAACATGATGCTCATTATTGACAAACTATGGTTAGCACAAAGTCCAATAACAGATCACTGCTGGGGTTCAGCTCGGGCAGGTCATTCTTCTCAGTCATACCTTTCCGGTTACCCATGTGAGTGTTAAAGTCCCCCAGTAGACCAATGGAGTCCCTAGAGGGGCTGTCTACCAGCATCCCAGCCAATGTCTTCAACAAAGCCAGATGCTCCTTTCTGATGTTTAGTCATGGACAAGGACAATAGTCAGAGCCCATCCCTGACTTGAAGTTAAATAGAGGCAGCCCTCTCTTTCACTTAGGCAAACTGCAATGTACACGCTCTGAATCAGAGAGCTATGAGAAACCCACACCTTCCCGATGGCCCAGGGAAACTCCAGAGTGAAATAGCGTCCAGTCCCTTTCCAGTAGTCCGTCCTCATGGTATACCTGTTCTGGGCCAGGTTTCTGGATCCTTGATTTTGTCACTGAAATTGTACTTAGTCTGGCCCCTCACTTAGGACCAATTTGCCTTTGGAGACATCATCAGGGGCAACTACCTCCGACAACAGGACTCTTAGGACCACTGGGACACACAAACCCCTCCACCACAGTACAGTGGTGATTCATGAAGGGGACAAAATAAGTACTAGTCCTACAATACTGTGATCTGTGATCAGGGCCTAAATTTCATTTAACGTCAATGTTCATGGATTATTTCATGCGAGACATTGTGACAGGGTTAATCCCTGCCATGCAGATTTGCTGCACTAGCTGTCTAGGAAACTAATAAAATAATAACGACCTTGGACAACATGATAAGTATAATAACTGCACATGGTTGATGTGTAAAAGATATTTTAACGATGGAGATATTAAGCAAAACCTGATTGTTGTCTGTGTATTTCCTGAACCAGTATATAAAAAGAAACATGACAATTAGCAATTAGCCAGCTCCTGAAGTATGGGATTCTTTATAGCTCATACACACACTGCTATTATTTTCTACGTCGGCTAAAACACGATGATGAGCAGCCCTGCCCCCACCCGAAAGAAAATGTTTAAAGCTATTTATCTGGGTAGTCAGTGTATATTTGCTCAGAACAAAAAGCACAATTCAACATTAGATTATATGCAAATTAAGAGTAATGCAATAAAAACTAGCATGTTTTTTTTTCTGGATGGCCAGAACAGCCCCAATTAGATTTTTCTCAGGTAAACCTTTTCTCAGGTAATGAAGTATTGATTAGTCATACATGTGTTGGTGGGTGAATTTCAAAAATACGTGGGTGTTGAATGATTGCTGCAAATACTGGGGTGACTTTACGAGAGGTTTTGAAATGCTAAGCTAACACACCTATACAGACGTAATATCATAGTTTCACATCAACATGAAGATCATTTAAGTATCGTTTTCTTTCACTGCCTAGGACTGCAGAGTACGGTACAGTGGTACCTCGGTTCTCAAACCCACTAGAACTCGAATTTCTTGAAAGTCAAACAAACCAGTTTGACCTAGAACTTGATCTGAATATCAGAAGTCGAACCGTGAACGCTGACCTAATGTAAATTGTACGTGCCAGGAAATGAGTCATACTACAATGCAATTCTTACTTGAATGCCTTCTTCACAGACTGGACGATTAACCAAATAAAGCAGCGCAACATTACAGTAACTAACAATAAATAAACCACTAACTTACGTGTACTATTAGAGCATTTATGTCATTTATTTAAACTTTATTTTACCAGGTAAATTAACTGAAAACCAGTAATTACTGCTTTACGTGATATTCGGGAGAAATAGCAGATTACGCATCGGAACTGCCTGGGATACAAACGTCATGCGTGTAACTAAACTCTTCAGCCAATAAGGGCAAAGGTGTGTCGTCACGGAGGCGGTTCCAGTTTGTGCAGCTGGGTGAGAGGTCGCAATGCATCTAACCGTAATGCATTGCGTCAGGATCAGAATGCGTTGCTTTAAGCCAGCGCTGTAAGCAAGTCGAACGCACCCAATGACCGGACTGGGGAAACAAACTGAAACACGGACTTAATACAGAGGACTAATGACAACAACCAGAAACAGCTGATCACATGGGGATCCCACACGAGGTTAACGAGGGGGCGTGGCACACGGAAGGAGCGAACGATCGGGGCAGGACAGGGGTAATGTTGGGATAAGATCTTTATCGTTTTGGAAGCCATTAAGAAAAAAATGCTCTCCTTGTTTTATCCTGTTCATTTTGTGTTTAAATATTTAAAAAAAAAAAAAAAAAAAAGCATATTTAGGTGTAATTTTGGGGGGCCGGGAACCAATTAATTGGTTTTCCATTATTTCTTATGGGAAAAATTCGATCAGAACTTGAAATTTTTAGGATTCGATCCGGAGTCCGGAACGGATTAAGTTCGGGAACCGAGGTACCACTGTGTTTTGTTTTCCCTTTTTTCCCTTTTTTTCTGGTTGAATTTCTGAGGTTAGTGGCACAGTGTATAAAATCATGCACATACAGGTCAGGAGCTTCAGTTAATGTTCACATCAAACACCAGAAGGGGGTTATTTAAAGTGACTTTAAATTTGAACGTGGCATGGTTGAGTGGCATGAGTATTTCAGAAAAATATTTACCAGGCTTTTCATGCAAACCATGGGTTTTTAGAGAATATGGTGAAAAAGAAAAAAAACATCGAAGGAGTGGCAGCTCTCTGGGTGAAAATGCCTTGTTGACAGCAGAGGTCAGAGAATAATGGCCAGACTGGTTCAAGCTGATGGAAAGGCAACAGTAATTCAACCACTTGTTACCACCAAGGTATGCAGAAGAGCATTTCTGAATGCACATCACGTCGAACCTTGAAGCAGATGGGCTACAGCAGCCGAAGACCAAGCCGGGTGCCTCTCCTGTCAGCTAAGAACAGAAAGCTGAGGCTACAGTTGACACTGGCTTACCAGAATTGGACAATGAAAGATTGGAAACACATTGCCTGGTCAGATGAATCTCGATTTCTACTGCAAAATTCAGATGGTAGGGTCAGAATTTGGTGTAAACAACGTGAAAGCATCCATCCATCCTGCCTTGTATCAACAATTCCAGCTGCTGCTGCTGCTGGTGTAATGGTGTGGGGGATATTTTCTTGCCACACTCTGGGCCCCTTAGTACCAATTGACCATCGTTTAAATGCCGCAGTATTGTTGCTGACCATGTCCATCCCTTTATGACCACAGTGTACCCAGCTTCTAATGGCTACTTCCAGCAGGATAACATGCCGTGTCACAAAACACATATCATTTCAGACTGGTTTTTTGAACTTGACGATGAGTTCACTGCACTCAAATGGCCTCCACAGTCACCAGATCTCAATCCAACAGAGCACCTATGGGATGTGGTGGAACGGGAGATTCACATCATGGAGGTGCAGCTGACAAATCTAAAGCAACTGTGTGATGATGTCATGTCAACATGGACCAAAGTCTCTGTGGAATGTTTCAAGCACCTTGTTGAACCACTAGGAAT